CAGCTTTCCTTACCACTACCAACGCCCCCTCCCCCCACTCCTCACAACCCCCTTCGGAAAAACTTGGAAAGTTCTCTGTTTAACACTGAAAATCATTCATAAGACGCAGAGTAACAGCAGCATTTTTCTTTCTAAATTTCTAGGAAAAAAAATCCAAGTTATCACAAAACATTTCTCATGTTTTTCCACCTATCCAAAATACCTAATCTCATTTTAACTAGACTCCCTCTGAACATCATGGATACTAAGCTACCCCATGAATAAACATGATGTTACAACGTGAAACCCGGTGACTGAAGTATATAAAAATGTAACTGAAAGAGAAGAATGAGAGCCCCCCACCCCCTCCCACGCCCTCCCCAGGGAGCTGCAGAGTTGAGCAAGGAGGGGTGCAGGCAGCAGATTTAAATTTCAAGGTCTTCAAACATTTTTCGCGTTCATATTAAATCCTGTAAAACCAAAAACTGTAATTCTAATAAAAACCTTGTGTGTGTGGCTTCCAATTGTAATCACAGTTTTCTCTTTTGGAGTGGGATGTGTAATGTTGATAAAAGAAGAAAAAAAAAACCCTCGAAACAGAAGAAATACATAATGGAACCCACACTTTCCTGGAGTTTGTGGTGTTTTATTAAAATTAGAGTATTGCCAACAGGAAAAATACATATATACTTAAAAACAGCTTTGTTGCAATGGAGATATGTTGGGTCACTTGAGGAAAAAGAAAGGTACAGAAAAGTTAAGCTACGAGAATGAAGATTTTTATAACTTGATAAACTTTCTTAAATTCTATAGTAATGCAACAGTGAAATCCTCTCACTAAAAATGAAGGCCACTATGATGTGTCCCATATTTTTTTTTTTGATGTGTCCCATATTTTATCAATTTTTTTCATTTCACAGACCTCAGGAAATGAAAAAAAAATACTATTTACTGTTAACTAATTACTGAAGCTTTTTACAGAGCAAATTCTGGTATCTGTAGACGTTTTCATAGGCTCTCTGCACTCTGCGTGAAATGCTAAACTCTCTAATTGTGCAGTTGTGTTCTATCCAGATACATTTGGGACAGCAAGACCATTCAAATACAAATATTTTGGAAGATGTCGGGTAAATCATGGTAGCATACACAACGGAAAATGTCACCCCCTTCCTCCTGCCTGGGAATTACAGTGACCAACAGTGACGCAAACCTCAGAGTTTCTCTTAATTTCATTTAAAAGGTGGCGGGGGAGGACACCCACACATTTCTTTATGAAATTCCACTGAGATTCTGATGTTGCAAATAAATTGTATTTCTCAGAACAGCCAATAGCATTTAAAACATATTTTTTTGTTGTTTCTGTTCGCTTTGTAATACAATTCATGTTCCTTTAAAAAGGTCCTATAATCTCTGATACACTTGCTTTCCTTTGCCACAGAGATTTGGGACACAAATCACCTCATGGATAAATTAATGGTGGAGAAGGTGGGGATGAGCACTTTTAGGAGAACAGGAGGCTGATGCCCAAAGCAGCTTCGGGGCACACCAGGCCCCTAAAGACACTGGGATTGTGTTAATTCCAGAGACATAGTTCTCGAACTCTCTCTCCTCTTCCATCTACGTTCACTGATTGGCAAGTTAACAATTGTTTACTGAGTACCTACTTTGTCCCAGGAACTGCGAGCTCCAAGCGTTACTTTAAACAAGACTGGCAAGGTCTCTGCCTTCAGCTTTTTCTCCACTTTGACTTCACTGTTTCAGTACTACTCGTGAGTTCAAACTGAACACCATGAGCACAGAAGTGATATCTGTGCTCCTCATGCTGGTTCATAATATGTTCTCGTACGAAAGAAAACCAAACCCAGGACGTTTGCAGCATCTGAAATTTTTAAGACTCTTAGGAGTCTCGTGAGGTAATTTTCAAATGAGGAACCATGATCTATGCCAAATAGTTTTAGGAAGTGACAGAGACAAGAAAGGAACAAGATTAATTCCCAATCCAATGCTCTTTAAATTCTTACCACCCAGCTTCTGAAGGACTTTGATTTAGGTGGAAGAAATGCAGTAATCGCAGGAGACCGCCCCTGGGATCATCTATAGGAGAATAGGTAAGCCCCAGGGTTCCTTACCAGATTCTTTCCTTTCCATAAATAAGGAGGTTTCCAGGAAATTTCTATGAACTTGACTACAATTTATTCATCAACACCGATCTGCAACAATTTCTTTCTAGCCAAGTCTATGTTCAAATAGAAATGGGGGCTTCCCAGTATTACCCAAATTGTGCGTGTGTGTGTGTGTGTGTGTGTGTGTGTGTGTGTGTGTGTTATTAGGAATCAATGAAATAATTCAATGTAGTATAGGATCAGGAACCAGAAGACAGGAGAAAGAAGTGAGTGTCTCTTCCCAAAATGATTGAACACCTTGGTTAAGTTGCAAAAGTCACTCAACAATCTATTTGATTTTGTGTGTGAATAACCTCTTAACTCTTTCCTGGCTATTATTATATTTTGTTTCAACCGTCTCTAAAACTCAGAACAACTTTATCGTCAATAACCATCGTGGAAGGCACAATGTAACTTCCTCATGAGAAGTTTTTTGTCTAAATATTTTATTTTCCAACTACAGACTATGATCAAAATTTAATATTCAATATTAATATTTAAATATCATGAGAGAAATTATTTTATTCTCTCCTCTGTTTCACACGAAATGAAAACAAATTTATGGCCTTTGGGTTCATGACATCATTTACTGCTTGGCAAAGAAAAAAGAAGTGTCAGGGCAATTATTTGGATAATTGTAAAAAAGATCTAATTAAGGAGGGGGAAAGGTTCGGGGTTGGCTCTAGAACATACCAGAAAACACTTCACGGTAATTTTTTGTCACGGTCAGAGAGGTTTTAAAAAATCTTTAAGATTTGTCAGAGCAAGCTTTTTTCTCTAGTTTCTTGAGCTAGGAAGCTGTTTGGGTTTTTTTCTTTTCTTTTTTTTTTCCTACTCAGAGAAAAATCTTGAAAAGTAATACCCCATAATCCAAAAGGTAGGAGTTCCTGAGTTCAGCTCTCACAAAAGATAATGTGGCTTTTTTAAGGAAACATACTAGGAATAGGGGACTTTTCAAAGGTTTTCTCTCAAATGGGAAACAAATGTGGGACCTTTCTGCATCTGCAGATTTTCGTGAGGGCCAGGACAGGGAAGTGCCCACATCATCTCGCTCTGAACGGGCCAAGTGATAATTTAGGAGCATAGGGGTAACACAGATATGAGGGAAATCTGCCTGTTCTCCTAACCAAAGAGGATGCCAGAAAAACCTCATTCCACAACTTCCCAGAAACTTTCTAAAATGTAAGCTGGACGCGGGTTATTTTTAAATCCTGTTGCTGTTCAAGAACTGAGCCCTAATGGCCCTTGTTCTCTTGTTTTCAACCAAGTATATTTTTAAGAACTTCTTTAACCCCAGATTTGTATTGCAATGAATATGTGTCTGAACTACAAGACATTTTCTATCCCCTGAATTCTGAGAAGCAGGCTATGACAACCAACAGTTTCTGCAAGAATTGAAGAATCCCACAGATAGTTTCAAAAAACTGAATGAAATATACAAACTGTAACACAAACAACAACAACACGAGAGTATCATTCACTGCCAACAGGTCACCATCCTAAGCAAAACAGGGTTTACACTTCTGTAAAAGCTACTGGCTTCTGGGGAAGCAACAGAATTATCAATTATATTTAACTTCTATGATGTATTAACATATAAAGAAAATAGCAGTCCTAAGACAACCCAGTTTAAAAAAAAAAAAAAAATCAGCCCTTGTCCAGCAGTTAGCCAATCAGAAAGCAGGTCACATCTTGTTAGCTGTATTAAATACATTAGGCGTCATGAATTCTCCATGGCTCTGTTGACAATTTAAGCAAGTGTGTTTTATTTTATCATACAACACTAATTGAGTCCTTTCCAGAGCTGAGAGTCAGTCTGCAATCTAAAATTCCAACAAAGCTATTCCCTTAAAGCTCTTTGCCATCAACCCTCTGGGTATTTGCACTCTGGCAGAGAAGACGGGAGTCCCAGCGATTCCTACTTCCTAAAGTGACTTTGGTGCACCTATAACAAACTCCTTCTCAGAACACTTCAACACAAAGCCCCAACTTACAAGCAAATGAACAGCCCAGCAGCAGGACCCGCCAGCCTAGCTAGCACAGAAAAAAGGCAACTGGCATTAAATATTTAAATTGCAGGAGGCAGTCTGGAGTTTTGCATTTACAAAGTTCTGAAAGTCCTGTTCTCTGCTCCCAGAGTTACTGGCCGGGAAGGCAGAGGCTCGCTCCCTCTTTCAGGCACAAGATTACAAATATGCAAAACTCGAGCTGACTTGAATGCAGAGCCAGCTCCCGGTGGAAGGTAGAGCTCCTTGGGAGACACTCCCATCAGCGATAAGAGAAAGTCGAGAACCCCCTTGCCCCAAGCAACTGGTTTCTGAATTTAACATGGAAATACACAAACAATGTGTCCCTCCAGGGCTAGTTCTGAAAAGTGTAGGGGGTTACCCTTCTGCCCCCTCCACCTCAATTTTGATGACTTTGAAAAGCAAATGCAGGTCAAAGCAGACTTCCTCCGGGGATTTGTTAAAAATTTATTTTGCCAGATGCAAATGATTCCCCAAATCCCTGGGAATTATATCTCACGAAACACCAACGGGACCGACTCAGAGCCTGCAAGCCCCAGAGTTCGGGAAGAACAGCCTATCTGGAGACCAGGCAGGCGAATCAAGTGCTGGGTTGTCTATTTCAAGATTCCGGCAGAAACTGTCCCCAGCTCCAAGAGTTGCTGTGCCTGGAAACCCAGCGTTCAAACTAGTGGATTCATCCTGGCGCTCATTTCCACGTACGTGGTAGTATCTAGTGGGACACTTCCCACAGAATTCAGCCAGCAACCCAGGAAAAGCCCATGCCCAGTTAAAAAAAAAAAAAAAAAAAAAAAAAAAGACGCAAATACACACCCAAGGTTGAAGTACTTACCTCTGTGCGAGACTGCAGTCTCTTGTTCATCTCATAGATTCGGTACTCTGGCTGTACCATGTATGGTGTATGTCTCCTATAAAATGGGCCGAAAGGAGAAGAATAGAAGGGGTCATGTGGTGTGCTGGACATCTTGCCTGCTTGTCGAAAATCAAGCTAAACAGAGTATCAGTAACGTCCATGCAGAGCACATGGGCTGTGTTCCTCACAGTACAAAGTAGACGCACGCACACGCTCACACACACACACACACACACACACACACACAGAGGCAGGCAGGCAGGCAGGCTGAACACACTGGCTGGGAACTGCTGTTGGAGCCCTCTATAGCAGGAGAGGAGAGGGAGAGCGAGAGAGGAGGGAGGGAGGGAGGGAGGGAGGGAGGGAGGGAAGGAGGGAGGGAGGGAGCACGGGAGAGGAGGGAGAGGGAGAGAGCAGGAGCTTCAGAGAGGAAGGGAGGTTGGTAGGGAGGAAGGGAGGAAAGGAGGGAGGGAGGAAGAGAATGAGAGTGAGAGAGAGAAAGAGAGAGAGAGAGAGAGAGAAGCTGGATAGCTTTAGGCACCACTGCTTGTTTTTAAAGAAGCAGTTTGTGGAGAGGTCATTTCCTGTCCACACTGTAGACTAGTTCAAAAATATAATTCTCCTCACAGTCTGACAGAAGTCTAAGGTTTGGTTTTAATTTTTTTCTCCAGCCAGGACCCTTCACAACCTGATTGCTAAGCTTGTTAGCATATAGGTGGTTTAATGCTGCCTGAGCCACTCACCCCGACAGACACACTGTTGTAGTGGATCAAAAATGTGATTACTACCAAATACAGAAACACTGCACGGGGGTCCCTGGTATTAGAGCTGGTGATTCACTCGCATGCCAAGGTTTCCCTCTGCACTCATCTCCCTATATAGTTTTGGTTTTACTTGCTGGTGTTCCAAGGGCTTGTTACAGCCTTTGCATTTCACCCACTCCTCACCCCCTGCACCCCCACAATCAATCCTTTTCCCAGCCCCTCCCTATTCTCCCAAGGCTTCACTCAAGCAGGTTTAAGGGGGCCTGGGTTCAGGTTACAGAGGGTTTTCAGGTAAAAACAATCATTCAGAATGTGGAATCCCTACGATATATCCATGGAGCAAGGGTTGTTTTTTGGGCGGGTTTTTTTTCCCCCTTCTTGAAAAGAAAAAAAAAAAAACTACTCCCAAAGCCGCCCTCCAAATAAGGTAGGAAAAGCAAGAAGGAGAAAACTCCCCCAAAAATGACCATGGAAAATTCGGTTGAGTAGGAAATTGCAGATAATTGAATGGCTCATCCCCAAATAACACGTCCAACTCTGATGCAGGCAAGGTCTTTATTTTCCAAGATTGGTCAAGAACATAAATCTTTTCACAACTGAGGTATATGATAACTGGAAGAAAATCCGCACAGCTCAGGGAAGGGTAAGGCTCTCTACGGAGAATTAAATGATCTATATGACAATCAAATTCCACTGGAACCAATGATAACCAGACATATACCCTTAAACAAAGCCCAGACACAAAAAATGTAAATGTATTGAGCTAATACCTAGTGAGGTCTTGGTATTAAGAAAAGAAAGCAGAGACCACCAAAAAGGGTGATGTATGCAAGACCTGAATGTAAATGCATGCAAATGAGACATTTCTTCTTTTTAATAAGCAGATTAATTAACTTTCTGCCCCAATCATGGCTTGGGGTATCTCCAAGTCACTAGCCAAAGGGGGATAAGGTATCGCTAATTCTGTAATTTACACTCTGAAGAATACTCGAGGGTAGAAATACCCCCAAATTGTTGTCTTGCTCAGTCCCTTTCCGTGATTGTCTGAAATGTTTGCAGAGTCCACCCCAAACTTCCAGTGCAACCCAACACAGTAATGTCCCTTGCCAGGATGAGATTAGGGGAGGCCTTACACTAAGGCTGCTTGGAACTTGTTTGAGAAGACCCCAGGGCAGGCCAACATGCTTGGTTTCAGGTTTCATTACAAATCCAAAAGCTGGACTAAATTTGCTGCAAGGTTTGTCAAAACACACAACCTTCTAAAGACAGGATTACAAACAAATTTGGCTTGATTTATGTTTTGGAATGATGGCCACTGCAAAATCTAACGGCTCCTTGCGTTTAGATCCCAAACTAAAGAATTTCCAAGAGTTTAGTGCCTGCCTGAGTTTGTGTTTACATGGCTGGTTTTGGAAGAAGAAGCAAAGTCACACCTCGTGGGCATGTACAGCCCAATATTGATCAAAAAAAGGAAAAACTTGAAAATCCATTTAGGGAACTCCTTTCTAATAAGGTTAAATTTTACTCTCATTAATTCTTGCAGACAATTCCAAGTTATAATTGGAAATACTGCTTCCTGTTAATATCTAAAGACTCCAAATTCAGAAGTATCTGAAAGTTTATCATGCTTGAGCCACATAGGTTTTCATCTCTACTACTTCAGGAGTCTCCAAATTGGTCTCTCTGTTCAGATCCACAATTCTTGTACTTCGTCTTTATTATAATCAGAATGTTGATTGCAGAAAAGAAAAGCTGATCTTGCCCCACATTTTCCCTTCAGTGTTTCCCTGCCCCAGGAAGAAAATGCCCATGCTCCTTAGCATGATACACAGAGCTCCTTAAGACCTGTGCTCATGCATGCTCTCCCTGTCTCTCTGTCTCTATCACACACATACATACACACACCTCATTTATTTGTTTGTTACACTTGGTCTTCGTAAAGTTACAATCTTGTTTCATGCATGCACACATTTGTACTTTCATCCTTTGTTTCCCTGCAAACTCTTACTCATCTTTCTGTCCAGTTAAATTGTCTCCTTTCCTGTGAATATTTTCATTATTTCTTCATTAATGCATTTATTCCAGTTAGTCCATCCACAGCAGAAGGGGGCACGGACCATAGCACTGACCAGAACACTTTGCAACCCTGGTTCCGCGACTTCTCTGCCCTGTAAACTTGAGCCAGTGACTTCATCTCTCTGTGATCCTGTCTCCCCATTTTTAAACTGGAGACAGAGAAAGTGACAATACGTAAGATCATTGCAAAGGATTAGATGAGATAATGCACTACAATGTATTAGAATCCACATGTATAAATTCTCAAAAAATATTATTCTTATTAGGTACCTATTGCATGCTTAAGCACTAGGGGACATTAGGAGGTCAAGGCAGATAGCAGATGTGCTTCCTGCTTTCCTTTCCCTTGTAGTCCACTCAGGGTAAGAGGAGAGACAGTGTAGGGGAACTAAAAAGACTTTGCGAACATGATTTCGAACTGTAGTGTGTGTTGTGAAGGAAATACAAGTTCCTCCTTATCCAAAGGGGTATGTTCCAAGCCCCCCAGGGAATGCTTAAAACCGCCATTTGTACCCAATGGTATGTATACTATGTTTTTTCCTCTATGCATATCTCTGATAGAGTTTAATTCATCAGTTAGGCACAGTAAAAGATGAACAACAATACTAATAATAAAATAGAACAATAATAACACTATGCTGTAATAGAAGTTATGTGACTATAGTCTCTCTCTCAGAATCTTACTGTACTGCATTCTTACTTACTTACTTACTGTACTGCATCACCCCTCTTATCATGATGTGAGATGATAGAGTGCCTGCGTGTTGAGAGGAAAGGAGGTGAATGACATATGCATTCTGACGTAGTGCTGGCCTGCCACCGATGTTCTGATCATTTCATCAGGAGGAGCATCTGCTCGCAGCTCACAGCTGATCGCTGGTCATTGAAGCTGCAGAAAGCAAAACCATGGAGAAGAGGGGTGGCAGGGACCGCTGTAAATAAAAGCAAGAGATGGAAATGAGGGGTGCCTGAGTGGCTCAGTGGGTTAAAGCCTCTGCCTTCGGCTCAGGTCATGATCTCAGGGTCCTGGGATGGAGACCCACATCGGGCGCTCTGTTCGGCGGGGAGCCTGCTTCCCCTTCTCTCTCTGCCTACTTGTGATCTCTCTCTCTGTGTCAAATAGATAAGTGAAATCTTTAAAAAAAAAAAAAAAGAGATGGAAAATGATGTCCCCATTTGGGTCAACACTGTGTCTTCTGTATTCTTCCACTGGAGAATTTACATGTAAATGTATTAATTGCTATCATTTATTAAGTCCTTACTTACGTGGGAGGCTCTGTGCTGAGTGGTTTACACAAATATTCTTTATTGATCTTGCAATAAAGCTATGAGATCAATTCGACCACACTCTCCATTTTACAGATATGGAGACTGGGGCTTCAAGAGGTTATGAACCTTCTTCAAGGTTATACAACTAGTAAGTGATGGGGACAAGATTCTTCTGCATTTCGCTGCTGGAAGCCCAGGTCCATCTTCAGCATAGGGCATCTCTGCTCTTTGACCCAAGTGGCTGGTGTGGTACTGAGCCCACAGTAGGTACTCAAACCATACACACCTAACTAAATGGAAGAAAAGACAAAAGGATGAAATGTCTCCCATTACCTAGATTTTATTCTTTGTCCTGCTCAATTTCAGCATCCATTGTCCCCCTCCCCCACTTCTATCCATTCTCCCTGAAGCCTTGCCAAGCTACTCCTACTTTTCTGTCCCAAATCTTCCAGAACATATTCCCAAAATTGCCCAGTTAAGTCTTTAATGCTTTGCACAATTAGGTCACCTGGCTGGTTTTACCAATTCTCTGTTTCTGGAGGGACCAGCTAAGACTCACTTCACTCTGGCCCAGGGCTGAGCATGATAAGTGAGAGAAATTATGTGCTCATTTTAAGGCTGCAAATCAACTCCTTCAGAAAACCATAGGGAAATCCAATAAGCAGCGTTTGTCTACCATAGAGGAATGAACAAAACTAACCCCTGGGGTGACACTTGTACCACCCCCAAAGACTGAGCCATGAGTTCACATATAATTTTGCATGCTGAGTATTGAATAAGCTCTAAAAGTCCTCACACAGACGTTCAAGGTGACTGAAAAGCTGGCCTACATTCACATTAGGTCTAAACCACAGAGTGTTTTGTTTTCCTTTAATTTGAAATACTTGCCAACAGTGTACAAAAATAAAGAAGTTCCTCTAAAATCCAGATTTTCATCTTGTCTTGAAGGTCTGGCAAACCTCGGTCCCATCCCCACCTGAATGGTGGCATGTTGGGGGGGCCTGATGGCTAGTGCTTAGGTCCCCACCACGAGATAGCCCTCTCTAGCCAATGTCCTTAATTACCATTTACCTGCCTGACCTCTTTAGGGAATCTGCAATTGCACAATCTCCAATTCCTCTACCAGCTCCACTTGC